AGGAATGCCACGGAGATGCTGGGTGGTGGATGTCTTGCACAGGCAGATGTCAAGAAAATGAAAGGTGGTAGGAATATTTAGTAAGAAGTTACCTGCCTCTTATTACTCAGTTTTGCAGCACTGACTCGTTATGCATGCCCTGCTATTGAGTGATGACTTGTGTATAAATTTACTGTATTCCTATTTTTAGAAAATAGGGAGAGATCCAGCAGAGGATCCTATGCCTGTCCTATTTTTTTGATTGCTAAGGGAAAGATACATATCTCAGTGAATTGAGACAAAACCAGGATTTGCATTTCTACTAACTTGTGGTTGTGATTCAGATATTCCCTTCTTTCCAGTTCCGAAAAAGTAGTTTGTCAGGTCATCATAAGTTGTGGAAATAAACAACTACCTTGCAAGACTTAATTAAGCTCTGTTGTAGAGCCACATCCATCACCCCAAAATGAAAGCAACACTCAAAAACCCGGGTATTTGATGAAGTGGTTTGTCTGGATGTTTGTGATAAATGGGCGAGTGTCTTGCGCTATGAAAGCGGGGAAAGGGAAACCAAAGAACAAGGAAGAAGCCAAGAATATCTCAGAGCAGCAACCGGGAACGCAGCCTTGACCAAGTTTTGTCTCGTGGGGTTTTTTGGGTCAGATGGTAGCTAAAGAAAGCCTGGAATAATGATTAGTTTAAAAAAAAAAAAGCTATTAGTGTCAGACTGTGTTCAGGGGAAATGCAAGTTGCTGCAACTTCCTTTTCCTATAAAGAATATGCAGAGGGCATCAGGCTCCAAAATAAACTTCTAAACATAAAAGCCTGCCTGCCTGAAGTTTAGCTGAGTGGTGAAAGTCAAAAAATACATAGAAAGAAGAACTTGTTTCCAAAATAAGTAACTTTAACAGAGCAAATGACAGCTGCATCAAGGTGACCAAGAAGCAGCACACCAAGCCTGGATATAGCTGGAGACTTAGTAAAGAGAATTTTAAAGCTCTGAAGTTCTAGCAACTTCTTGGAAAGTGTTGGTGTGACTTGTCCTTGGAGGTGAATCTCAGCAGCCGTGTGTTTGGATGGCCCAGGAAAGACAACTGTAAGATGGCTCATTTGTGGGGCGCTCTGCGTGCTGACCTATGCGGCCCCTTTTTGTGCTGTGGCAAAACTCATTTAACTCAATCTGATAAAAAGCTCCGAGGACTTCATTCAGAGCTGGCACCCAATCCTAGGTAGCCCAGGCACAGGGGAATGTTAGTGAAAAGCTCTTTGTGAACTGGCAGAGTGGGTGTGAAGACTTATCCTGGCAGCCTGATGTATGCCCAGGACTTCCAGGACTTGTTAGAAAATTGGATTTGAACTTAAAGCCAGATGAAGGTCATCAAAAGTGTAAGGAGGCTGTGGAACTGGCTGCAGGTTTTGAATACAGCTGTGCAGCAGAGTAGTGGAAGAAGAAATTGCTGCTGTGGAAAAATGGGAAAACCTGCTCTTAAAGAAAACATGTAAGCAGTAGTGGCCCTCTGATACATCTGAGGGGAATGTGGGTTTGTTTTTCTAAAAAGTGCAATTTTTTTTTTAGTAAAGTGGCAAAAGTGTAAAAATAGAGTTTAATTAAATATTAGCTATCTTGAAAAACTTAGTTGTAAAATGGTGTGTTCTAAATACAAGACTGGTCAAAAGAAGTGATTTATAAAATGTTGAGAGGAACCCCTTCTCAATTTGGAAGATGGGAATGTAAAACTGAAAGGACACCATGGCCAACAGTAATATGCAAACTCTAATGTTTTTTTTAAGGTATTTGTCAGATGTGTTTTCTAGGGTGTGTGAGATGGCTGCAGGGTGCTGAGAGAAGCTTGGGTGGGGGATAAGGCACCTGGTTTTACAGGTCAGAATAAACCTTGTTAAAAATTGAGTTTAGCAGGGATCCTTCATGGCTAGGTAGCTGGGAAATGATTAAACAGAGAACAAGACACCTGAGACAATAACCATCTCCTTTGGAGACTGAGCACATCAAAGCTCTAAGGTACGAGTTGGTGCGTGTAGCCAGTGAAGCGTCGGGGAAGTCAAGCAAACAAGGAGAGGCTTTCCACTTGCCAGTTCTTTGGCGGGGGGAAGGACTTTCTTACCGACAGAAATGTAAAATCTGTTTAATGCGGTAGTGAATGCTCTGTTGTGCCTGCTTAGCGCTTTCTGCTTCACAGGTCGCGGGGTGCTGCAGGGGCCAGCGCTGGCGTGCTGCAAGGTGAGGGATGCGGACGGTGAGGATAACGGCGGCGCCGCTCGGGGCCGGGGCAGGATTGGGGCCGACGGCAGCCTCCGGTCCCGGGTGCCCGAGCGCCCTGCGACGCGCCGATGTACCGAGCCCTGCCTCGGGAGCGGTGGGAGTTGTGCGCCCTCCTGGGGGAAGGTTTGGGGTTTTTT